CAAAACAACAATTTATATAATTTGCTTATTTGACTAATTATTACGGGATAAAGCGGCGTATTAAGGTGCAATAGCGGTGTAACAATGCTTATTAAAGTATAGTAGCTTCGTGTTTGATTTCAGCCTCCTCCATGTTACCTTTTGGCAAGTCAACCATTCTCAAACTATGAATTATTTAACAGTTGTTTATTAGTAAGAGAGCCAGATCAAGGAGTGAGTAAAAAAAAAATGTTTATTTACCCTGAAACAATTGGCATTACTAGACGCATGGCCGTGTGTCTGGAATTCAAGTCCACTATCGTACAATATTTATACACCTTACATTTTATAATATACAAGAAATTGCAAAGGAATGTAAAGGCTGGCATTATAATTTTAACAATAATCTACAGTGAGTGCCGTATGGTCTACAAATGGTATTGCCAACATTATCCAAATACACCGATGTAGCGAAGAAGGGTCGTCCACTCCTACAACGTCTCTGTGGCAAGCAGTTTGCCTTGCGCTTTGACTGCCGTGGGTTCCTTTGGTCGATAGGTGCCGTTTATTTTTTGGGTGGCGTTGTTACGCTCTCTGGGTCGTCATTGGAGCTACGAGGTTCGTTACTTGTGTGTCGAGCTCGCGACAGGTGGCTAACCGTTCTGTTAAGAGAGACCCAACCATTTGGCAAACACCTGATACTGGGAAACTGATCTTATCGACTTCAACTTGAACAACTTCACAAACAGTGTTTGTCTATGAGTAAAGTACAAACACAATGACCAGTTTCGGCAAATATGCATATTATTCATTAATTTTACTAACATCATTTATGAAAATTGTACATACAGTTAGAATTAGCACGAAAGATAGATTTTGCAGAACCCAGCTTTCATCGTCAACCACCTTAAGCATTTAGACAATTAAGATGCCTTTACGTTCCCAAACATGTCACTTGACGAAGGATATGTGAGATATGTCCCTTTTTTCAAAAAATCAAGTGCGCCAAAATAATTCCGTTTCTGAAACTTAATTAAAACACAACAGCTAAAAAAAAATTCTCAGTCAAGCTGCCTTTGCTTGTAAAAGATGTCAACAATACCCTCAATATGTTCTGATCCATGAAACTTTGAAGGTCTGACAGCACGTATACTTTACCACACAAAACTGGACAATAACAAAGCAGTTATGATGTAGAATGATTTACTACGAAATAATAGGGTTAAAAAACATAACATCCCCCCCCCCCAACCCCCCCGAAAAAAAATATCATGGAAAAAGAAATACAATTCTAAAAACATTAACATACCAACTGCATTCGTGTGCTACAATGTGGGTTGAAAAACCAGTAAAGCTACATAAACGGAGTAATAAAGTGCAATATATTTCGAGAGTCAGTGATTTAATACAATGCTATTAACATTCAGTTAATGAGAGGATACGGACTGAGTAATATAAATATACAGGTTATTAGGCATTTTAATGGAGAATTCAAAGATATAATAATTCACGAAACGTATGAATTCACGGTCATCTGCTGTTTTTCGATGAGTTTAGTATACAGCGTTGTTCTCACAATCTGTCTGATAGTATTTTTGTTTACTTGTTCTGTGGTTTATCTCCTTTATCTTATCTCGCAGATGGGGGTTTTGCGTATATGGCCCTTATATGTTGTCCATGTTTGGCATTGTCATTTTTGTACTCTAAATATGCTGTTTTTAATCATTTAACCCCCCCCCCCCCACACACACACACCCACCACACACCCCATCCCACCTTACAGTTTATATGTATGTTTGGATGTCTTAATAATGATGATGACAACTGGTATATACGTTCACTTGCTTTCTGGCATCAGGTCACTATGTATCTGTCAATGACAGTCATCTCCGGTAATCACACTTCCTAAATATTTAAATTCACTAACTGGTTTCAGGTTATTAGTGTTCAATGTGCCACATTCATATACGATTATTACATTTATTAAAGTAAATCTCAACGAGTGGGTTCTGATGTACCCTTGTAAGGAAAAGGAGGGGGGGGGGGGAATAGACACACTGTCCCCTTGAAGTGCTTGTCGTAAGAGACGACTAATTAGGAATGTTCCTTTTCATTACCCTTCAATTTCATTACCCTCAGAGGCGAAGAACCAGCAATATACATTAAAGTAGATCCGTAAAACGGATGTGCATACGAAACGCAGGTTCTGGAACAAGACTAAAATCAAGGAAGTGTATGAACAACAAGAACTTTGCGCTGGAGTTTACAGCCGGTAAATGTGAAGACGGCGAATGAGATTAAAGTAATCAGGTTTGCAAGAAATGTATGAATAACAGTAGTCTAATGCTGGAAACAAATCTAGGTAGCCATACTTATTTTGACATGACAGCAAGAAAAACAAATGCAGTGGAAAATTACCAACTCTGAGGAACAATAGCAAGGGTAAGACATTGAGAAAGTACCGATGACCATCAGACAGACGCAGAACATGTTCAAAGACATAATGTAAAACCGGTGTGTCATATATGCATCCATTGACGCGGGAGCAACATTTTGTTATTCAAAAGAACCATCCCAGCTGTTGTTAGAGGCCCTAATATAACTAACGGGATGAATGGGGTCTCTAGGAAATTGCCTGTGTTATTCTCATCCAAATGGTGCCTTGCGCTTTGTGACACCGGATGTTAATCGCTCGTTGTACGGCCCTGATGGGTTTAAGCATCAGTCAGTCAGACAGGCTGGTATGTATACATAAGCTTACAAAGATGACCGATCAATCTGGCAAGCTCTTGATGGTTAGTTATTGCTAACATATTTGAAAGAAAAAAAAACACGGGAAAAATGTTTTAATAATTATCCTAAGTATAACTGCTCATATTACGGGCATTAGGCGATCAACTGTCATGTGTATTATGTTGCTAATGAACACACTTTCTTAAAATCTTACGAAAAGTGTCCTTATATTTAGTACTCATATTGTAATAAATAAATATATTCATAGAACAATTTATACTTTCCATAGCATAAGTGAATCCACCAAGTAGCAGTGGTATCTTTATATATTTTCTGTTTAAAAAGAGATCTGGCACAAATGCAATTGCAAACATGATGGCTGTATTAGGCAAAAAGCAAACAATATATAAAGTCGATATAAGCAAAACCATTTTTGCTATCTTCTGGTTGCGACTGGAAACTTTCACTGCTTGTGCTTGTCCGACATTTTTGCTTCTCCATTTTGTTTTTAGGTGCAACTGGAGTGCTAGAATTATTGTACTTGTTGTTATTATTACAAACATAAGAAGAGGAATTGCAAAATTGTTGACAGAAAGTGTAAATTTTTCAACCTGTTCTCTGTCTTCTCGGTAGATAAGTCCAAAGATAGTTCTGTTTTTTAGGAATGAATAAGTTTCTCCAAGTTTGTTGACGGCATATATTGGGGCAGCACTAAACGTAAAGATTATGAAGATGCAGACGATGATCACAGTGGTTCTTTCAGGAGTGACAATGCTCTTTACCTAAAAAGAAAAAGAAACCAAAAACAAATTATTTGTACCCTGTGTTACACATTCCACGTCTCCAGGCGTATTTAGCATGTAAAATTAGACCTATATTTTGCACACCCATCGTCACTCAGTGGTGATATTGTTAACATCACTCCGGGCACGTTTACTTCCCATAAATTACCCTGGTACCCATTTAAGGTTCGGTCGACTTGTGAGCTATGTCATTTTGAAAAAAAAAATGCAAAAGTCTAGCTTCCTCTGGGCCTGAACCAACAACCTTCAGGCAAGCCTATAGTCGTAGAACCAGGACAGCTCCCCGTGATGTACAAATTATATTTTAAATATGACCTTGGCTCCCAGGTGAAACCAGCCTTAAATGGGTAATAGTTAAATGATTGGAAGTAAAGCCAGCCGGCGTGTGTTGACAACATCACCCAACGAGTACAGATTGGTCTATACAAAACATATAGAGCAATATGTGACCAATGATAATGCATCAGTAAAGAGGCTTGCCTAGCTGCCTTGTGGTCGTACATGTGTCGTCTTTTCCATACAGCCATGTTTTGACAGAGGAAAGCTACAGCAGATCCTTGGCTTTCTGCTGATCATGCTCCCTTTTCTCACTAGCCTAGTCTCTGCATTACCTTCCGGCTCCCATATTCGCAAAGAAGGTGGAGGGGGATAGACAAGGTAACTAAATGTGAGTATGCTGAGAGAAGATTATTTAGCAGAGGTGGCAGCTATAGCAGCCTAGCTGTAACCACAACCCAACGTCCGACATGGTCTTTCTAAGAGCAAATTCAGCAGATAAAGAATACTGTCCTGGATTTTAAAGATACTATAATCTGTACTAGGTACTTGTTAAGATGCTCCCAAACAACACTAGACGGGTTAACCATTTTTTTTTCAACCTTGCATATCCTACATTATGCGTAAGTCAAACTCATATATAATGATATCTATGCGAGTAAGTTCCTGCATTTCCCTCTTAAATTAAAGGTAAAGGTAAAGTCGGGAGATGTGAACCAGCGACGCTGTATATGGTTATAAACCATGAGTTCTCTTCCGCCAGTAGGGACAGCTGCTAATAAAATGTCCACCTGTGTCACCGTCCGCACGCAACTCCGTAGCTACTGCGACGTTCCTCCATTCACCCCAGAGTGTTAACTCTGGTACCCATGACCAAAAGGCTGGGTCAGCCCCGGGAACCGACCGGTAGGCTGCAGCTGGATTTGTAAGGGAGTCTCCTATCGACTTCGCTAACGCAGCCTCTAAATACCAGTGACTAACTATAGACGTATACTGCTTCTTTGAAATTACAAATACGTATTCAATTATAACTTGCACATCTTCGTAGTATATTTTTTTTTAAAACAGAACAGAAAGCAGCCAGTACAAATAACAGAATAAATATCGGTAATCACAGTATATTTTATTATTTTTATATTTTGTTAAACATTGTACTTCTTATGGTGAAAGATTCTTTTTTTTTTTTTTTTTAAACGGTTGAAAACTAACCTGTAACGGCTTAGATATACTCAAACATCTTTCCAGCGTTATTAATGCTGTGATACAACTGCTCACTCGAGTGAATGCAAAATGGGGTGTCCCAGATGCCAGGTAAGCTACATCGTAGATCTCAAATGGTAAATTTGCTGCAGCAAAAGCGGGGCAGAGGAAGATGCAGGTCAAAGCCAGTGTTAGGAGGCTAACTAAATCTGAACACGACAAACCTGTGAAAGATAAAGTTATATTAGGTATAATTAAACCGTTACATGCGCAAACACAGCATGAGCCTACCGATCCTCGGTAGGTGATCCCAACTTTTGCAAGTTTCGACATTGTGTCCGCCCGATGCCAAAACCGTAAATTTGCTTAGAAAAACCCCAACCCAAAAATGCTGAGTGCTATGTCCTGTGACATGTTCGTTCTGCAATGGTCCCTGTGAATGCAAGATACGGACTAAATTGCTTGTCCCCTAGCCAAAAATAATCTCGCTGACGAGGGAGGGAAACAGGGTCGTGTCTCCCAGGCTTCGGACATATCATGATGCGCTGATTAGACAATCGGACAAGACAATATAATGCATAACAGTTAGCAGGAATTTAAAGTATGGCGGTATGTTAAAGCTATTTAAAAAAACAGCAGTGATCTTGAACAAATTAGTTGTGAAGTTCAAAGAGTCCATAAAAGTGGTTCTCAACCTTCTTAATGCCTAGACCCTTAAATACAGTTTCTCATGTTGTAGTGACCCTAACCATAACAGTATTTACGTTGTTACTTCACAAATTCAGTAAATATGTGTTTTTCGATAGTCTTGGGCGACCCATGTGAAAGGGTGTTTCCCTAAACTGGTCGCCACCCACAGGTGGATAACCTCTGGTCTAGATGATCGACTTCATGGTACCAGATATGACCCCATATGGATCTTTTCTCCCATTTCCACGCATGAACAGGTTTAAAACTTCAGAAAGTTTCCCATAAGGATTCTTCCAGTGTCAAGTTCTACCTATGTGTTTGTGTCTTGATATTTACCTTTATGGAATTAATACAAACGTCTCAAAAAACAATGTTCACTGATCAACACTTGACTTACTTTTAAGGGCACAGCCATTTTAGCCAGACAGCAAAAATTAACACCATAAAGAGGTGTTAGGATTAAGATTAAAACACGAAAAATACTCGCAAATAAATATTCAGTTTTAGCTGTTTTAAATTGATTTTAATGTTTTTGTTGCTGTTGCATGCAAGTGGATGTGGCCATAGAAAACATTTTGTTTTCTCAACTAATTTATTACGGTATATTAATGAATGTAACTATTCGTATGCACACGTATTTATTTGTGTGCACATGTAGTTATTTGTGTTGTTTTGTGTACGTTTTCTGCTTTCCCATTTTGTTGAACTTTTTAGTCAGATTTCTCCGGAATTCCATGTGTATGCACATAGTATGTTTCTAAGTAAAAACAATCTTCTGCTAAAATAGTTTTTTTTTTTTTTTTTTTTTTTTTCAAATAAATGACTTTAGTTAAGTGCCAGTGGGCCCTACATGGTGGACTCTACATGGACGAAGCTCAATACTCGTGTTGAAATCAACGTAAAGTGGCCTTTTGCCAAATCGCATGCAAGTGGATTCGAACCCAATGTTTCGCAATTACGAAGAGCGATGACACAATCTAAGCCATTTACCTCGAATGCAATCTGATTTCGTTTGCAGTAAACCGCAAATGCAAAGAAAACCAAGAGCAAGGCAGCATACCTGCCACACACACACAAAAAAACGACTTTGTTCGGCCGTGCATCCTTTGAATGACTCAAATTTTGTCCGTAATTTTAAAACAGTGGAGTGTCCTTTTGTTGGTTCCTTTGACTGACTTTTATTGTGTGTAAATGCTGTTTTCAAAACACAAATTCCTTCCCACCATGTTCTAATTTGTTAGCTCAACAGGCACCCTGAGCATCTCAACTCTCAGAAGCTATTTACAGTTTAGAATCGAATGGCTTTCAGTCGAGATGATCGATATCATTGACCATTGTTATATCACTTATGAATTATTCTCTCAGTTCATAAAGGCTAGTCGAGAGCTTGACGAATAGCACGAACTCTAGAACTCTAAAGATGATCATCAAGTATATTACTGAAAGTCGAACTTGTGAACTGAAAGATGCAGTTTGTAAAACGAGGACAGGATTAGCAGAGCGCGGGGCAAACAGCTTAACCAGGCTTAATGACGTCTTAACCACCTAGTGACGGCTAAACCACCTAGTTGTGTCCTAATCAACTAGCGATAGCTGAACCACCTAGCGACCGTTGAACCACCAAGTGACCGCTTAACCACATAGTGATGGCTCAACCACCTAGTTGTAGGGTAACCACCTAGCGATAGCTAAACCACCTAGTGACCGCTGAACCATGAAGTGACGGCTCAACCACTGAGTGACGTCTCAACCAACTAGTGACATCTTAACCACCCAGCAAAGGCATAACAACCTAGCAATGGCTAAACCTCCTCATGACGGTTCAGCCGCCTACTGACGACTTAAACGCCTAGCGACGGCACAACCACCTATAGACGGCGTAACCATCTAGTGACGGCTTAACCACCTAGGGTCGGAGATAACCAACTATCGACAGTACAATGCCGTAACTAGAATATTTGCTAAAACTGTCAGTGATGACCACTTCTGCGGTGTGGGCGGGGCAGGGTCATCTCTGAACCTGAGGATTTAGGGTCGCATGGATAGTGCAGTCGCCACGGCTAAGATTATATGATTATAGCCGGAAAAGTCGAAAAGATATGACCTTACCGAGGATTCGAACCTAATTATCCTATATGACAGCCTAAAGCTAAAAACTAATCTATTTTTATTTTAAAGACAGGTACCAGAACTCAGTAAATCAAAAGTTGAGTCAGCAGCGTAATATAGGCTTAGAAAGAAATATATGGAAAACGTGGGTTCGAGTCTATATTTTTTTATGCACTTTTGTTTGTTTGCTTTGTTTTGTTAACTTTTTTATTTTAACGATTGAGTTTACTACATAAGGATGCGACCAGTTTCTGTAGACTCAATATCCTAATGAAGTGAAATACGAAAATATTCATAAATTTAAATTTAAACTTCTTAAAATGACTGACAAATTGCGATGTAAAACATACTTTCGCGAAAAGCTAGTTCTGGAACAAGACCAAAGGCCTGAAGTGGACGAACAACCAGCAGGAGTATACAACTTATAAACCCTATGAAGAAGACTGCAAAATATATAAGTAAAACACAACAACCAACACATCTTTTTGTTTCCCCATACCTAACAGACTAATGTTTGTGGAATCCTGGAAACCTTGCTTTACAAAACAAACGATATTGATAGTATTCGTGATAATGCCAAATATATTAATGACCTGACACAACACAGTGTACAATGCCCATGAACAAATCAGTACGGTTGTATCACTTAGATACACTGTTGCTGTGGATGTGACTAGGTGCGACTGATTTCTTTCTTGATGCATTTTAATGTAATATGACCTCAGAGCCTTAACACACAACTTGTATTGTTTTTCAGCCACAACGTACTGACTGGATGTTGGTAATAAATCATATTTTACTGCACTCAAGCAGAGGCAGCACTGAATCTGTAAACCCTTATCTCAGATTTGTAAACTGTCGACTGTACCAAATGAAATTATAGTGACACGAATGCCTGTATAATTTAAAATCAGCTTAATTATTGTTTGGCTGACAGTTGAAATAGGAGGAAGGCACAGAATGACCTGAAAAGAAATTGACGTATACAAACTTGTGCGACTCTTGTTTTAAATACACACATTAAAGACCGGGGACACTTCGCAGAGCATACGAAACGGTGTAAAAATCTGTAATACAAGTAATACAGCTTTTTTCGTAAGACACATACAATAATTACACATACATTAATTGTTAACATAAACATTGCTGTGGCGGGTAGATACAATTTTGGGATAACATTTTCAATATTTTACTTTATCATAAAGTTGTAATAATATACGATGTCTTTAAATTTGACTACTTTTTTGTGTGTGAATGAATTGTGGTCAGTCTTAGATAAAACAATCAAATCTAGACAGCCAATTGTTTTTTGTTTTGTTTTTTTAATTGTTTTTTTTTTTTTAGAAAACATAATTGCTGCTTTCAATGCTGTTCTAAAACAGCTTGTTATTTCGTTAACCTGGTTGACACATTTTTGCACTAAACAAGTATATATTTTTAAAAGATCTGATGTAGACAGCTTTTGCATTTCACTTTGGCATTTTGTATTCCTTTTTTTATTCTCTGCGATGTAAATTTTTGTTTCCAATATGTCCCCCCTAAAAAGGTAGTCATCTTATAAAGTTTGAATTATTATATTTCACTTGCAGGAAAGCGAATTTTTTCTCCAAACAATCAACAAAACCAAGTTATTTACCAGGTAACACCCGACATCGCATTACTTGAGGAATTCCTATAAAGGTTCGATCTCCCATTCTTCACATTCCATAGCGGTGTTTCAATGCCAAGGATGCAGCTTTAGTGGTGTTATGTGTCGTGTACACCAAGTCTATCAGTGCTCATATGTGTTGGTGATGACGCGATTGCATTGTGTATACAAATAATAATTTCAGTTGTTAACCACTAACTATATGAATTATTATTTTCTACTGACATGATATAAATTCCTTGAATGTTTTGTTCTCCAACAAATTGTTACGTGAATCCACTTTATTCAAACAGTTATGTCACTTCTTCAGCTTTTATTATTTTCATTTTCAGGGCTAGCATAGTTTTACATCAAGCAACCATTGTTTGAGATATTATGAGTTAACACTCGCCTAAGACAGCTTTTAACATCACATTGACTAATTATAGTAATGACTAAGACTGAATGTGGTAAGGACACGTATTATTCACGAAATTTCAACAGATGAGATCATCTTCATCGTAATCTATCAGCGGGTTTTTGTGTGTAAAATGAGGCTGACCAAAGAGGATTTTCCAATAACATCTTTCATGCCTACGGTGTCTGGCATATCACAGTGAGGCTTGTCCACTTATGTAAGGTGTTCAAGCAAAGTAAAATGGTATCACTGTGTTTCCCTACCCTGCTCTGATGTTCAAATGTCCTAATGTATTTCAGCCTCCGAGATATGATGTCAGTGGTTGAAGTCTCAGCAATATACACTTGTTCTCAGATCGTTGTTGAAATTACCTTCTATTTTCCCCAAGTATATAATAATTTGTGTATATTAATTAGATATTAGTATGTTGGAAATAAAACCTGTGAAATGAGTTGCATGAGAAAAGTCGCCAACCTAACCATCTAAGAAAATGTTACAAGTTATATTTTTAGACACACTGTAGGAATAGCACCCTTCAGGAAAATTATTCAGAAAAAAGAAAATCAAATGGTTTCATCTTCTAGTTCGAATGCAGCCAGAATAACTAACAATGCATGCGCTACACATGAAAAGATCTACAGTGAAAGCAAGATGCTGCTCTATGAGAAATAGATTAATGGAATTAAAGAACTTTTATATCGACACTGAAGGAAAATAGCCATTGCTGACCATCAAGCAATGGATCGCTAACTGTTCGTTCCCATATGCTTAACGGTAGAAGTCTAAATCGTTGATGAGGATGATGGGTCTAAGATCAACGACAAAATGAGTGCCAGTAAATGGTATATTGACGGAAGACTTGGTGATGTTTACTTTATTCAATCAGTTAGCAAGAATCATTAGATAAACCATGAAAAGTATGCAAGCACAATATACACATGCTCTGCAACAATGTGTGACCGATGGTTCTTTATTTTAATTAAGTATCGTTCAGATTGTTGGATTTATAACTATAGTCATTTATCTTCTCTAAGACCGTGCTCTCGAAACCGCAGTATTCACGTATCTAAAATTGTACGCATAATTGTATTATTTACTGCTTAATAGTCTCTGAAACAGCAGCAGGCATTTTGCACAGGCTTGCTACAACATCACTACATTTGGAAACAATGCTGAGAGCGCCATAGTGGCTTCTCACTTTTTCTTATTGGGGACAAGCTGATCAAAACTCTAATTTTCATTATTTCATTATCTCATTTGATAGGAATATTCGAATGATGTCAACAAAAGTAAGCTTACATACTTGTAACCGAAATGGTAATATCCCTTTTCCTCTAAGATCGATTCATCCTTGGAATACGGATTTCGTGTGTTGGTGACAATTCCGGCAGACTCCTAATCGTTCTATGAGGAGTAACCGACCCGTTGGGTTTAAAATCCTGACATTAAACCTTCCAGTCTTGCTATTCAGATGTCACTTAAAGCATAATCTCTTACCCGCACATGTCTCTAGCGTTCATGATCTAGCGTTGACGCCACTGTTGCACTGACTTTAACGTTTTGCCATACTGGACTACCATTCAGTACACGACTTTTAGGGATAGGAAAATCGTCAGTATGTATGTATGTAAGTTGTAGCCCACCAGGACATCATACAAGGCGATAAACAACCGGTGACTCAAAGTGCCACCATGCTAGTGAGGATCACCCGTGGAGAGATCCCAGAAACCATGTTTAGTCTTAAGGCCATATTTATGGCTCGGCTATATTTAGGGCCCCGGCAAAAGCCAGTGCGGAGCTTCAAATAACCAAAAGTTGCATCCCACAAGAAGACACGACTTTCGTTAATGTGAGAATCGAACTTCACCTTTTCCTCGACTTACGATCTGTGTGACTTACGACTATCGGCACTTAAACCCCACAAACAAGCACAACTTAAATACTGAATAAAAACTACATTGACAAGGTCGAAAAGCTCCAAGAATTGATGCCAGGAGCGTAGAAAGTTATACACATCAAAGGTGATTTGATCCTACTGCGTGTGTCGGACTGTCAGGAACCAAAGACAGAATGAAAAATATTAATTCCACTTACTATCAGTTAACCTGCGTAGATTTTTATCATGGTATGAGGTGTCTCAGGTCGACCCTGCCTAAAATGGGTACAGGGATGGCTGTCCTAGGGAAGTAAAGACGGCCGGCATAATGCTTACCACATTACCCAACTAGTGCAGATGGTCTATAAAAAATGGACGCTCTTCCCATATGCCCGATACGCTTAAAGGCGTGAAAAGGGATTTTTACTTTTATCAGTTAGCCCTATGTCCTGTTAGTCGGAACGGAACTGGTTCGTAAAATTGAGATGTCAACTGTATTTATACATATGGGTTGAAAACTTGAAGTGTGTAGAATGTGTGTGGTAATTACTTAATAGAAGACTACAACTCTGTGCTAGGTAGCTAAAATAGCGATTCTAACTAGTTTTGTCATTACTTCTACTGAACTACTGAATGCTGAATGTTGAATGTTGAATTAGGAATCGACAATACAGCACTCGTGACACTCCCATAAGCTCTCCGTTCCCATCTTCATCAGCTAGAGAATAGTTAAAACTCCGATGGTACCAGTAACAGTCTGATTGTATGTCCGTCCCGCCCCTCTGAAGTGTCGAGCGTCAGCCAGATCCCCTTGTAACTCTGAACGAACCAGAACCAGTACTTCTACTACGGTGGACAAACGTGTAGTATTGTGTTTCCATTGATACCGCATTAAAAACTGGAATATGGCTTTATTCCCACATAAATTATTGTAAAACTTCTCCAGTCGTCGATTAAATGCAATCGACATAATTATAATCATTTCTTATGAAAGAACATTCCTTGTAATTTGGCATAATATAAGGGACAGTTTGACAGGTTGTCCACGTCTTCAAGCATCCTGGACATGTAGTGATGGTCCTGTATTGTATAAACCAATCAGCACTCGTTAGGGAATGTGGTCAATACTTTACTTCCCAGGACTTCACCTGATACCTATTTTAGATTGGGTCGACCTTGATGCCATGGTGGTTCTGGTGAGATTTGAACCTACGATCTTTTGATCTGCAGGTTATGGTCAAGCACTATACATTGTGGTTCCCAACGAAATATGTAAAGGACTCTTTTGGACGCCTTCAGACTTATTGAACACATTGTGTTAGACCATTTTTAGAGCAGTCAGCACACCGTGGGTGATATGGTAAAGCTTTACAAAAACAACACCGGTTATTATTTGAAAAACAAATGTACAAACTCAGACCCAGGGTGTAGATATTTGGAGCTACATAAGAAAGTATTGTATTAAAACAAAAACATTCACATGCATTGAAATTCGATGCAACAGTAAATAGACATTTTTTAAAATACACCATAAAGGGACACCAATGAAAAGTAAATTAACTCGGCAACATTTCAATGCATGCTGTTCCTTATAAACATTTGGACGGAATTGATGAAGATGGTGAGCAATCAATTTATATCGACACAGGATGTATTATTTAAAAAATAAATATATGTAACAAAGCATCCATTTAGTGCGCTCAACTAGCAATAAAAAATGCTTATAATACCAGATAGCCATTTCAAGTAATCTCCTTTGTGATACATGTCCACGAACGAATTA